GAGGTAACAGCTGCCACATTAAGCTATTTAAAAGAGCCAAAGTGTATCATCCTAGTGTATCCAAGCTGAAAAAATCATCACACAAGGGTATCATGAGGAAAGGGACATGAGCGTCTAGGGAACTGTAGAGGTTTGGGCTGAGATTCTAGAAGGGAAGATTGGACCCCTAGGCTCTGAATTTCCCTGTGGCTGTTTTGGATAGCATGGTGTAACAGTTCACAAATTCCAAGATGTGTTAAACTAGTTCTGTTTCTCACGCCTCCTGCAAAGTGGGTCCCCGGACTTCTGTTCCAAAGTTCTGGCCCAAGGCACCACTGTATGTTCCTGAAAGCAGCCAAAGAACACACAAAGGGGAAGACAGTGGTGTCAGTCTCTTGTTCTCTTTTTGTAGCTGGTAGCAGGTCAAGCAGGAGACAAAGGCTCATTCATACCACAGGCCTGCTCACTCTGTTAGCATAACTAGCATCTCTTGTGTGCACCAGTCCAGTGCAAAGTTTGTATAGCTAAGCATTCTCCAGTTTCCCTGGGTGGAGGGAACTGTTAGAAGAAAAAGCACATAGAAGACAAATGGTTTCCCAGAAGTCAGTCAGTCGGGATTGGGAAAAGCCCATTAGCATGGCTATTTATTCAGATGTGAAGTGATATTTTAGGTCTAATTATCATTACTGCTTTCAGAAGCACTGCTAAGTCAGTGTTCCTGTGAGAGGCTTGTTTGTCATGTCAAGACATATTCCTCCTAATTATCATCCCTAAAAGAAGTTATTAAAATGAGCTGAATTGTACTGGTATAAAATCCATGAGGATGAAACAAAACGTTTCCAGGGATCTTGTGATTTGGGTGGACTGTGGATGGATGGGTGGAGGGCACCAAGTTCAAAATACTGTTCTACTTCACCATCCCAACCCTCCAAATACAGCCCACTGGCAAAGAGGGTAGCACAAAGAGCCAATCTGATGTAATGGTTATTGTGGTTAGGGAACGCTAAGCCACATTACAATAATGTGCAATGCAAAATCGTTGATAACCTTGGTGCTTGTGCAAGGGTATATCCAAGGCCTCAGTGCTTGTGCAAGGGCATATCCTAGGTCCCAATGCTTATACAAGGACATATCCAAGGCCTTCTGCAAGTGGACAAGCAGCAGTGGTGGTGAGCACACTGAAGATGGCTGAAGTGGCCATGTGCCACCCCCACAGGCTGGCCCAAAGTCATCATCTCCTTGAATGCCTAATTTCAAGGGGTCCTTAAAGTCAAGGAACCATGGGAAGATTGTTCTGGAAAATGACCTGTGCCATACCTGAACTATGAAACTCAGTGGACCGCCATGGGCCAGTCACTCTTTCTCAGTCTGTCTCTCAGAGCTGTGGTGAAGATCAAATGAGGAAGAATGCCACACATGCTCAGTGGTGGAAAAGCAGGATAGAAATACTGTAATTCTAATAAATAAGTTTGAGCTACAACTCTAGAGACCAGAGTTCAAACCCTTGCTCATCCTTGGAAGTCACACTCTCTCATCCTCAGAGGAAGGCAAAGGCAAACCTTCTCTGACCAAATCTTGCCAGGAAAACCCCATGACAGGGTTGTCATAAGTCAGAATTGAATTGAAGGCATAGATCGACAGGAAGCAACCTGCTTTTCCTTAAGAGACCTTGGGATATATGTTCTCCTCTTTAACCTCACAATAACTTTGTGGAGTAGGTTAGGCTGAGAGGAAATAATGGATGTAGTAAAAGCCCTGTGGCAGGGAAGAGATTTGGATTCAGGTCTCAGAAGATGGCAATGGCAAATCGTCTTTGAAGAAACTTGCCAGGAAAACCCTGTGATAGGTTCACCTTAGAGTTGCTAAAATCAGAAATGACTTGACAACAACAGCAAAAAGATAGGCAAAGTATACAGACCCTAGTTTTTTGTGGGTTTTTCAGGCTGTGTGGCCATGTTCTAGAAGAGTTTCTTTCTGACGTTTCGCCAGCATCTGTGGCTGGCATCTTCAGAGAAAAACCCTGAAGATGCCAGCCACAGATGCTGGCAAAACATCAGAAAGAAACTCTTCTAGAACATGGCCACACAGCCCGAAAAACCCACAAAAAACTATGGATGCCAGCCATGAAAGCCTACAACTATACAGACCCTAGCTTGCCATGTACATTGGGTACAATAATCAGAAAACTTAGGTGCAATTAGGAGCAAGTGCTCTTGGACAAGGCTTATGAAATTGAAAAGATTTGCTTAGCATATTTGGAGGAACAATTAAGATTGCACTAAATGCTCCATTAAATATGTAGCTGAGTATCACTCTTTTTTTTTTTGCTTTCAAGTGAACAAGTAGGGTCCTATTCTTCTCACATGAATGGGTAGGGAAAGTTAATCATCCCCCATCAAGTTATTTCCTTTTAAATTCCTCTCTCTGTCCTGCACATGGGGAATGAAGAACAACTGTATGCACCAATGGAAGTGTCCTCCTCTCTCCCTGCAGGCTGACTAAAAATGAAATTTGACTGCATGTTGTATATTTAATGTAGCATTTCATTTGACAGCCACAGTGCAATGGCTGTTTCACAGCAATGCATGTTCGACAGAGTGTAACTTCCCCATAAAACTACATGTCTTCCTTCCTTGCCTGAGGTTTCAATGTTCAAAAGCCATTTCAAATCTCAGTTTATAAAAGACAGAGTTTAGAAAAGTTACCTTTTAAGGTTTTGACTCCCCCAAGTTTCCCAGTGGTCATTTTATCTGAGGGATGTGTGGGGATTGTAGTCCAAGATAAAGTAATATTTTCAGGCTCTGGACTACCATCTATACACTATTCTTAGGGCAACTGGAAATCACACCCTCTAAAACCCAGTGTTCAGCATCTTGAAGAGGTGCTGTTGACAGAGGTCAGGGAATGATCTGGAAAGAGACAGATAAGCTATCATCTTGTTAGTGACTTATGCAGGCACATGTTGTGCTACACATGTGGCACAATAATTTTGACATTTCACAATACCTGTATTCAATTGACAGTGGCAGAAATGGAGTTGTGCATGTGGAATCACTGTGCATATGTATGTACATAAGGTTAGATCATGCGGTTGTAATAGGTATCCAGGCATGCCCATTCCTGAGTATGTGTTACACAATGTTGCCATTCTGTTTGACAATGTGTAAATCCAGCCAGTCAGTTAGAGTTGCAGAACTGAAAACTGGGGAGGGGTCCTGTGCCTGCAACAGTTATGTAGAAGAAATGATTTCACCAGGGGTTGCTTGTTATGCAACCAGGTAACAGGCAATACCAGCTCAAATTTCTCTCTTCTGTACAACTGTAAAAGGTACAGGAAACCTTCTCCACTTTCCAATCTGGCAACTCTAAATTTACGCTACTTGTGATGATGGAGGATTAGAGTCACAGTGTGGCACTTCTGAAGCTTAGGAAGTGTACCTCTAATGAGCAGTTTGGACAGAAGTCCACTGAAACCAGAGAACCAAGGACCACTGGAAGGTTGCTTCCCACACATGCTAGGAAGAGGAACAGTCAGAGGAAATTGCAACCCATCCACAAACCAGAGACGTTGTAGGAGCTTGCTTCACCTGTCCATACCTGAAAGAACATTTGGTTCCCATTCCACTCTCTAGTGGACTTTGCTGTCTACCAAGCATGGTGGAACAATTGATATGCTCTTCCCCTACCTCCTAGAGAAAAAAACCACAGTAAGGAGAAGGTCAGTCTGGTCCTCATCCATTGGACAAAGAAGGAATAGCTGCAGAGATCTTGCTTCCCTCCGCTCACCCCAAAAGCATACTTTTAAAAAATCTATATAATGACTTAGGGGATGCAGTGCAAGATCAGCAGGTTGGCAATTCAAGGCCCAGGTGCTGTGTGATGGGGTGAGTTCCTGTCACTAGTCTCAGCTTCTGCCAACCTAGCAGTATGAAACCATGCAAATGCAAGTAGATAAATAGGTACCACTTTAGTGGGAAGGTAGACAGCATTCTGTGAAATCATGCTGTCTCTGACAACACTGGCTGTTTGGCTTAGTAATGGAGATGAGCACCACCACCTATAGTTGGACACGACTTGACAAACTTGTCAACAGGGAATACCTTTACCTATATAATGAATGCCTGTTTGCTTGTTTTCCTCCTGCCTTACAATCCTTTTTTCCTTTTGTGCCATAACTTTTACACTGGTAGCCCGAGGACAGAAGTGGTCTTGTTCATAGTTGTACGTTGCTCTAAAGAATTGTGGGCTGTGTGCATGCAAGAGTGGAGAAAATATGCTTAAATCAGGAGTATGGAACTTCTCTTCCTCCAAGACCTGGTGTGCAATCCCTATGGTTTGAGTTTGTATAGTGTGGGTGTGGGAAGGTGCACAGATACACAGCCCCTTCCCCCCAGCCAGCTGACATATGTAGCCCTTGTGCTAAAAAGCTTGTGCCCTTCTCCCCATATTAACTAACAGTTCAAATCAGGAAAGTAGAGATAGGTAACTATGGATCATTTCCCCAGTCATCTGTCTTAAAACCCTTTTATCATGTTGTTGACCTACCAAAGCCTTTGAGGACAGTGTAGTTTATAAACCTAATCAATGAATCCATTATTTGTAAGCCTTAAAAAGAGTTCTAAATTCAGCATAGATTAATAAGGATATAAAGAAAGGTAAACTATATCCTGGAAACTTGGAGAGAGAAAACAAAATCTACTCAAATTTAAGATGAACACTCTTACCTTTAACTATAGCTCTTTGATGGTCATCCTGGTGTTTAATTGTTGGTATCCCTTAAGAAACTGCCATATTGTCTGTTTAATAACCTCCCATGTAAGTTGCTAACAGTTTATGGGTTTTTTCCCCAGGGTGACAGGGCATTACATTTTATATGAGGAGTTGGGAAAATGACAAGTAATGAAAGCTCAACTAGACTGCCACAAAATGCTCCAGGGAATATTTACCGCACAACTGGAATGCTAGCACAACTCTGCCCAGGTATGGTTTGTATCAGATCTTAGTGGTTATCTTGAGACAGAGCCAGTGTGGTGGTGTGGTTGGAACACTGGACTAGGAACCTAGAGACCAGGGTTCAAATCCATGCTTTGGCATGGGAACCCATTGGGTGACCTTAGGCAATTCACACAAGCCCCCTCTGAACAAATTTTGCCAAGAAAATTGCATGATTCACCTTAAGATCACCAAAAGCTGGAAATGACTGGGAGGGACCCAACAATAACAACAACAAAGTTCTCTTGAGACATAAGATGCACTGCTACGCTCATTGTGTCAGACAGATGAGCGAGCAGGTTCATCATTATATGTGAATTGGGGCCCTTTGAATACAACCCCTGGAAAGAACTTGATGACAAGAAGCTACTATAATGGCACATTATAATACCCAGAAGACAAACAGAGAACCACAGTTACATGGGGCTTAAGGCAACGAGGTTAAGCAGGCAAACTTTGACTCTGTTGGACTCTTACCAAAGACCATAGGCATGGGCAAAGCTGGGGAAAGTTATTTTTCAGACTACAGCTGCCAGAATCACTCAACCATCATAGGCAGTAACTTGTGAAGGGGGCCCATTCAGTTACAACCCCCTGGAAAGAACTTGTGCAACTTCTCATCTCCAGGAAACCAATTTGCACAGACTTCCCCTGGGCTGTTCACTGATCAATGTACATAGAGCTTTAAAGAGTTCCTTTTGGGACTACAAATCTCATAATCCCTCAGCCATGGCTAGGGAATAACACTGGCTAAGGAATGCTGGGGTGGGCGTGGGGATTCAATCCCTAGTCTCCAGAGTTGTAGTCCAGTGCTCAAACTACTACATCACACTGGCTCTCATTCTGTTTAAATGATTTTATTGTTTTAAATGTTGAATTAAGTTGCTTGATTTTACTTGTATGCCTGAGAGCTAAGGATACAGGATAGAATATAAATAGTTTAATAGAACAAATAAGAAATAAGAAATAAACATTGCTAGAAACCTTTGCCCTTGTAGAAGGTGACCTGCAGCCGATTGTGTCAACTGACTTTCATCGCAAAAAGCATTGCACTGAAGTGATGAGATGTCAGTCTGGGATTACCGATGCTCACGTGCAAGTTACCAATCAATCCTGCAGTCTCCAAACCATCTCCTAGCAGGGCCTTTGTCAGCACCTTCCAGAATCCTTCAGCAGTATCCAGGGCATCTTCAGCCTGGTGCGTCTCTCATTAAATACTAGCTCCACCTCACCCCATCTCTCACTATCAGGCTATTTCAGTTTCCTACAATGTCGCCAATATAATGGCATTGTGAGGGGTTGTGAAAAATTAAAATGGTGGCTCCCTCTGGGGAGCCACCATTTAAACATCCCATAGTGCTATAAAACTCCCATAACACTATGAAGTCTGAATAGTGAAAAATTAAAGTGGCTGTTCCCAACCTCCTATTGAGTGCTGCCTGATGGTGACAGTAATCCTAGTACTGCTGCTCTAGTACTACTACCACCAACTTGGAAGGTGGCTTTTAAGAAGATAACTGCAACAACATGGTGAAGCCACCCATTCATGACTGAACTGTGACAGGATAATGATCTGGGATCCAGTATGCCATTATATTCATTCTTCTTAAAGGTCACTTTCCATGCTCTGAGGTTAGCCCACCAACATGGGGTCCCTCACTAATGAAGAAGGAGCTCCTCAAACGTGAGACCCTCAAATACATAAATTAGTTCTGAATAACACCAGTTTCAGTGGCACCTACATCCAAGTTCATGTTCTTAGGATTTCAGCTGCTGAACATTTTCCAAAAGTACTGTGGGAGCCACTCTCAGTCAAGTTTTAATTCAAACTTGAAATAAATTAGTCTGAATATTATCTTTTTTTGGTATACATGTCTATATAATGCACACTTTCCATTTTAATCTGCTAGGAAAAGTCATTATCAACTGTTTTAAACTTAATTCATTTCAATTAATTCCCCCACTCCCATTCTTTCACAACTCCACAGCAACAATGCCTACCTAGCTATCTATGGCAAGAGTATCCTCCTCAACCAATGATAGCTCCATGTTATCGTTTGGAGAGGATTTGACACGGAAATTGAAAGAGCCATACAGTTTGGCTGATTCTTTGGAGGCCGCGAACCGGTGACTCCTGTAGAGTTCGCCTTTCCACATTGACATCATGAGCAAACTGGAGAGCACGACACCCCCCAGAGTCAAGAGGCAGAGCCCCGCAATCACACACCTGTCCAGGTGAGCCCCAACCTTGGCACTCTCATTCTCCAGCCGCTCCATTTCCCTCGCTGCCACTGTGCTGGGGTCTACAGTCACATCTCGGGGAACTATGTAGGAAATGATCACCAACAAAATCCCAGTCACCAGGAAGAAGATGGCGCTGACAAAGCCGTAATCAATGGACTTGCCACCAGCAGTTTCTGAGCCACCCTCGTCATCATCCTCAGAAACTAATGAGGCAGGATCGTAGGGCCAGTCGAGGGCCAGCTCTCCACAAGGGTCAGGATGGACAAGGAGATCAGGGTCTTGGCAGCAGCTCTGGTGGGTTGGGCTTCCTTTGTGGTCTAGATTGTTGACATTCTCATCCACACATATGAAGGAGGTCTCTGATTCACAGCAACAGGCTCTCTTTTGGATCCTCTCTTTTTCTTCTCTTGGGAGGCTGGGATGACAGGCAACTTCACCTGCAACCTCTGAGGTTAGCGATGATGCAGCAGCGAAGGAAAGCATGTCTTCTTGGGGTACCCTCTGGATGGCCTTGCTGGGTCCTTCATAGGATTCAGCCTCCATGGTTAGCAGTTTGGTCTGTCCGTCCCTTTCATTGGGTTGCCCCTGACACGGAGGACCATGCAAATGCCAGTCTGTGCTATGGCCTCTCTCTATCTGACTGTTCTCCCTGATGAGGTACAGAAGTTCCACACATGCCATAGGAGCACCACTCTGAGAAACCACCACTGGCCATTGAAAAGCAGAGGTGGTTGATCATAACTTCACCATTCCTCAGCGGCAGCAGCAAGGCACATGGAGGAATTCCTAAAGCACTCTTTTCCACTTTCTATAGCCACTGTTCCTTCCATGATTCTGTTCCAGCCATTACCCAATTAAACAAATTCCTTTGGACATGCATTTATTTTCAATCTGCAAATGCAAAAGGGGAAAGAGAAGGGAAGGGCAGGAGGAGAAAAAGCTTCATCATCTTGAGACATTATTAGACAAAAAGGAGTGTAGCAGAAATGTAATACAGACTTGAGTCATTAGCCTGATTTTGTCCAGTGTGCATGAGAGTACGCACACGGTGGAGGCGATGGTAGAGAAGGGGGAGACGACAAATGTGATTGTTTTAATCAAGCACTTAGAGCTGAAATCCGCTTGCTGATCTGAAAATCTATTAGGAATTCTAATCAACCTTTGACACTGCTATCTAATTATGAGGAAGAAAAATTCACTGGCAGCGGGGGGAGAAAGGAACAATATTTGCAAAGATTGTCTCTCCAGGGCTCAAGGACAAAACAGTTACTGATCTGAGAGTGCAAAGCCCACAGGAAGGACAGACTAAAAAAGTGAGCACCTGCCCAATCATTCATTCAAATGTAGGGTCTAATTAGGAAGAAGCTTGCTGCAAATCCCTTCTAGCCCAGTAATCCAGGATCTCTCTTCTCCCCATGGAAATCTGATAATCCCAGGAGAAGGGAAAGCAGCACTTTTTGAAAGCAGATCTCCAGCCCTGATTAAAAAAAAAAATTTCAATGAAATTATGCCTAGAAGACAGATGATTCCAAGAAACGGAAGCTATTTCTCCTGGTGCAATTAGAAGAAACAGGGAGAAAGAGATGTGGAAAAACTTGGGATGCAAAAAGAAAAGCCCCGTTCCTTAAAAAGGGAGAAGGAAGCAATCTTTTGCAGACTTTTAGAAATATATTTTCATTTGGGACACAACATCTAAAAAAATATATGTATGGATCTGTGCATGCATAAATACATGAGTCAGTTGTTTTACTGTCCTTGATGTATATTTTCATGTGCATAAATAGTTTTCAACTTTCACCGAGAATTCACTTGTTAGCAATTTCATTGTCATTCATCTGTGTTTGGATGTGTATTACATGTATGATCACACCTACATGTAAATGGGTGTGTGTGTGTGTGTGTGTGTGTGTGTGTGTGTGTGTGTATACAACCATTTCCTTTAGGAATTATTTATGTTGTCTTAAATAATAATGTGTTGTTGTTCCCCCCCTTCTGTCCTATTGCTTTTAAACAGCTAGAGATGTTAGCATGACTTTTAACTCCATCCAGTCAGTCATAATTTATTACAGTCCATCGACCCAACAGTTTACTCATACAGTCGAGAGATACAAATTGTCAAAACTTGTATCAAAATTTGCAACAAGAGACAAGAGTCAAGGGATGTCTAAATCTTTTACAGAGAGGGCTCTAATCCTAGCTGCCTTCGATTCATTCTATTGATTGTTGAACTGTATGGTAACTTTCTTTTCTTTTCTTTTCTTTTCTTTCTTTCTCTCTCTCTCTCTCTTTTAAAAAAGTTCATACAGTTCAATGATCAATAGAATGAATTTTTCTCAGCTAGGATCAGAACCTAGTGACCTGAGCCTTTTAGTTGCACCTGTCTTAATTTCTGCAAACAGCCTGGAGCCCTGATGGGGAAAAAAGGGTGGCAGTAATAATAAAGGCTGCATCCGCACTGCAGAAATAATCCACTTTGACACCGCTTTGCCACGGCTCCATGCATTGGGATACTGGGAGCTGTCCTTTTGTGAGATGTTTCTCCTTCTCTGTCAGAGAGAGCTCTGGGGCCACAACAAAGTAGATACACTTCCCAGAAGTCCACACAGCAGGGAGCCCTGGCACTTCAAGTGGGATCGAACTGGATTATTCCTGCCATCCCAGCCCAAGAGGAGAAAGAGAAGAAGAGGGATGATGAGAATGAGAATGGCCAGAGATTTCCTTAGGAAGCTTGCCTGGGGGTGAGAGGGCTTGACCCTAGTGCTGCCTCCTGGACATCAGTGGAGGTGGACTGAGGGATGCTCCTCCAGGAGGGATGCCTCCTCTTTCTCCTCTTCCCAGCCTCTTCTCTCGAGGAGACCTAAAGAGGAGGACTGGGACGATCCTTTCTTGCTTTGCCCGGGGCTTTCCCTCCTTCTCTTACCTGTCCCATCATCCTGGGCTGGTCCTTCTCCAAAAGTCTCCGCTCCAGAAGCACTTGTAGCCATCACCATCACCACCAACAACGCCTGCCTGCTTGCCTGCCTCCTCCTCCTCCTTTTCCTTTTCCTTTTCCTCCTCCTCCTCCTCTTCTTCTTTGCCAGAGAGAGATTGAAAGAGAGAGAGAGAGAGAGAGAGAGAGAGAGATTTGGACTGGGATGCGTCTGCTGGGAGGAGCCCCATCAGTGCATGCTGGGAACTGTAGTCCCCTAGCCCCCAATGGGTCTGCCACTCCCCAGGACAGCTGCAAGCCCAGCAAAGGGGATCTGGGTGGGGGGGGGATTTTTGCTCCAGAAGGTTGTTTTCTCTGCCAAACAGGTGGATCTCCGAGGTGCAGAGGAGGCCGGGTGATCAGGTGTCCTCCTTTTCCAGGACATGTCCTCCATGTCCACCTTCTGGCCATTAGGAATTCCAAAAGGTCCTCCATTTGGAGCATGACTAAAATGCAGGATTTTTTTTTTTAGAAAATATTTCTGTGAGTGGTCTTGTTTTGGTTTTTTGCTTTTATTTGGCAACGTCCTGCATCTAACTGTCCTACCTTTTGCGGCCCATTGTCCTCCTTGGTGGTGAGGATCTCTGGTCACCCTGAAAGGAGGACAAAAGGTAGGACAAAAATGTAGGGCATGACCAAAGCTTAAAAACATTTATAGAAAGAGAAATTCATCTCCTCTAGTTTCTTTACAGCCCTATTACATAGACTGGAATAGATGTACTATATTTATTGTGTGTGTGTGTGTGTGTGTGTGTGTGTGTGTGTGTGTGTGTGAAGTGTGTGCCTTCAAGTTGTTTCCAACTTGTGGCGACCTTAAAGCAACCCTATCATGGGGTTTTCTTGGCAAGATTTGTGCAGAGGTTTTGTCATTGCTGTCCTCTGAGGTTGAGAGAGTGTGTCTTGACTAAGAGCACCTTTAGGCAAGGGTTTCCATGGCTGAGCCAGAATTCAAACCCTGGTTTCCAGATTCCTATGCTCCAACGTTGAGTGTGTGGGCTGAGCACCCATTAAAGAGTTGTTTTTGTTGTGCATCGCAGACACCGTTATTTATTTCATTTCATTTCTATGCTGCCTTCCTCCCAGGAAGGGACCCAAGGTGGCTCACAGATAAAAATGTGTTGTTGTTGTTGTTTAAAAAAACAATAAACTACAATATTTTTTAAATCATCTGGCTAAAAACAGTATAAAATTACACAAAACATGCAAAAGCTTAAAAATATAACTAGAGCACACACTTGGTATCAAAACCTCCTTGAGACGATCATACTATAAAAGCCTGCTTGAATAAAAACATCTTTACTAGTGAAATGAAAGCAGGGAGGGGGCCAGGCTGGTCTCCTGTGGGAGGGAGTTTTCCAGAGGGTAGGAGCAGCCACCAAGAAGGTTTGGTCTCATGTCCTCACTAAAGGGGCCTGTGATGGTGGTGGGAGCAAGAGAAAGGCTTTCCCTGTGGATCTTAGGGCCCTTGCTGGTTCCTATGGGGAACCTACACCTCTATGGGAGAGACAGGGAGTTTTCATTGGAAAGAGGCTGCTGGGGTTGAAACTCAGCCAGAGCCACACCTTTGGGATTGTGGGTTTGAACACCCTGCCTAGGGAGTGAACCTCGGAGTGAACCTCGTTGGACTTAGCTGGTTTTACTTCTGAGAGAACATAAGTACCCTAAAGGCACGGTTTGATCTTGGAAGCTAAATAGGGTCAGCCCTGGTTAGCACATGGATGGTACAGAGGAAAGCAACTAAAATGGTGAAGGGTCTGGAAACCATGCCCTGTGAGGAGAGGCTTAGGGAGCTGGATATGTTTAGCTCAGAGAAGAGACGGTTAAGGGGTGATATGTTAGCTCTGTTTTTGTATTTGAAAGGGTGTCATATTGAGGATGGAGCAAGCTTGTTTTCTGCTGCTCCAGAGAACAGGACCTGGAAGAATGGATTCAAACTACAGGAAAAGAAATTCCACCTCAACATTAGGAAGAACTTCCTGACAGTAAGAGCTGTATGACAGTGGAACACACTTCCTCGGAGAGTGGTGGAGTCTCCTTCCTTGGAGGTCTTTAAACAGAGGCTGGTGCTTTGATTGTGAGTTCCTGCATGGCAAGGGGTTGGACTGGATGACCCTTCTGGCCTTTTCCAACTCTGATTCTATGATGGGATACTGCCAGTGAATACCAGATGTTGTAGGCTATATTTCAGAGGAAGGAACTGGCAAAACCACCTCTTGAGCCTAAGAAAGCTCTATAAAATTCATGGGCTCCCCATATGTCCAGAGGTGACTTGAAGGCACATACACAACACACGAACATAGGATTGGATCTCTCTGTAGGAAAAATGGAAGGTTAAATGGCAAAAAAAAAAAATTGAAGGTTTTGAATTGTATTCAGTAACTTTCTGTTTGTAAAGAAGTGTGCAGAACTCCAGTAATTTTGCATCAAGACACAATGTATGTATATGTGTATATACATACACATATAGGCAAGCAGATTGGTTCTCCTTTGGGACAGAAGTTGGAAAAAATGCATTGGGACTACAACTCCCATAATTGTTGGACCTTCTGGGAGTTGCAGTCTAAAAAGTATCATCTTCACCTTCTGCCCCTGGAATATCCACTAAATACATAAGGCCATTTATAGTGCAACCTCTCGACTTTGGGTAGGGAAGAAAGAGCTCCAGACATAAGATCTTTGAATGAGAAAATAGAATATTAAATTATAGTACAGCAATAATGAAAACAATGAGGAGAGGGGTGAATAGGAAGCATCCACGATGGATGATAGTCAGCTATGTTGATTCCCATTTTTTGGCAAAAAGATGAGTCAGAAATCCAACATATAAATAAATAAATTCTCAGCATGCTGTTGAATTAAAGAATTCCTCATAGTAAGGAGAACCTGAGAGTTAGAAATGGGAGAAGGCTGAGGCAGGGTAATGAGAGACTAGGTGGGCAGAAAATAACAGCAAAGCATTATCTCAAATGGCAATGATTATGATTATGAGTGGTGACTCAACTGTCAGGTTTTAAGACAAGGCCAGAATGGAAAAGTCTTTCCGATCCTTTGTTTTCAAATCATCAGTAATAAAGTGTTTGCAGACCATTTTGTGCTCTTTTATAATGACATAAATTTGTTCTTCCATAGTTGTCAGCTGTGGAGGTGGTGAGGGGAAAAAAGCATAGCAACCTGGAGTCTCCTGTAAACCTAAATAAAGCTGCATGAAAGATGAATCAGGCAGCACGAGAAGGAGCATCGGTTTAGTAAAAAGACTCCCTATGTTTGTTTGTTTTTTCTTTTTCGGGTATGTTCATGCACATGTTCACATGCACCTTCATCACTTTGTGGCCATGGATATAGGCAAACTTGGCTCTGTGAAACAGCCATGGTCTTACAAAGCAAGGCAGGCAAAGTTGGTTCACAACACTCAAACTGCAAAGTTTCTCAGTGGAGGCAAGTCACAAGTTCAGCTTGTAGTCATCAAGTGATATAAGAGCTGGTGTCATATGTGACTGCTAAATAGCTTGGCAGTAAATGCACATACTTTATGTGCTGCAGATCCCAATTTCAATCCTTGTCAACTATTTAATATTATTTATTCAATATATACCCTGTTTTTTTTTGTAATGCCAGAGTGGTGCAGTGGTTTTGAGTGTTAGATTATGACTCTGGAGACCAGGGTTTGAATCCTGCTCTGCCATGGAAATACACAAGGTACCTTTGGGCATGCCACACTCTCTCAACCTTGGAAAATGGCAGTGGCAAACCCCCTTCTGGAAAAACATGCTACACTTCAGTTTAGGTTTGCCAGAAGTCTGAAATAACTTGAAGGGACACAACAATAACTTTCTTGTAAGAGTACAGGACAGCTAGCAATCTACATAAAAGTACACAGTTAAGGGTTCAATTCCCAATTTGGAAATGAAACTCACTTGGGCAAGTCTCATGCTCATGCTCTCAGCCTCAGGGGAAGGCAATGGCAAACCTCCTGTGAATAAATCTTGCCAACAACAACAACAACAACAACCATACTAGGTTCACCTTAGGGTCTCCATAAGTCAGAAATGACTTGAAGGCATACAGCAACAACAATAAAATCACACATTATAGGTATCAAAAGCACAAAGTTCACATTGAAAATTATTGTCATTTAGAATCACTAATTAAAATATCTACTAAAATAGAAAAAAAGCAATACAAACAACCTACAGTGAAAGACATATTAAAAAGTTGCTTATTCCTCAAATGCTTGTTGATATATGAGTGCACGTAAAGATGTTTGAAGAACAAAAGTTGGTGTGACAACTGGATCTCTGGTGGAAGGGAGCTGCCTAACTGGAGTGCCACCACTAATAAAGCCCTGCAACCTGTAATAGATGATGGGAAGAATCTCCCTGCCTGAAGAGATGCTGCCATACATGCATGCATGCAGTGTGCCTTCAAGTCATTTCTGACTTATGGTGAACCTATAACAGGGTTTTCTTGGCATGATTTGTTTTGAGGAGGTTTGCCATTGACTTCCCCTGAGGCTGAGAGCATGTGACTTGCCCAAGGTCACCCAGTGGGATTCATGGCTGACTAAGCTATACCTTCATGTGTAACTTTTCAAGCATTCTGATTCCTGGTGGAGGCCCAAGAATAGCTTAGAACAGGGCCTGTCCAAGACCTTTTGCTGCCTGAGGTGCAGGAGAAGATGGTGCCACCATCCCCATTTCAGATACTGAAGCTAGTTAGGCCATCATTTAAATACAAAGGAATAGCATCCAACACTGCACCCGAAGGCAAAAGTCAAAGGGTGGAAGACAGAGGAAAACAGCAATGGCTCTGAGGCGGAACATCCCATGCCAGATAGCTAGGTCAGCCTCACAAGGATTTTGAAGGCCTTAAATAACAGGGCTTTTTTAAGAAATAGGAAATGATTGGCCTAATTCAATTGTACCTTTTTAAAGGCTAAGGTCCAGGGAATCCTAAATAGCATTGATTATTTTCATGCTAAAAGAACTTGGAGCCTTGAAGCAGGGTCATGGGATGCTAGGAGTCACACTAGGATATTGGGGATCATATACCCTGTTGCATGCACTTTTTCCACCTCTGCCTTAGCTGATGATTGAACTTGGCATCCTTTGCATCTGAAAGATGTGTTTTTCCATCTGAGTTGTGGTCCAACTCCTAAAGTGTTGCCTGATGGGTATGTGATAGGTTGTGCAGTACAGAGTATGAAAATATTATTATTATTATTATTATTATTATGAACACATCTCTTGGGCTTGAGAAGTGTTGGCACATATGTTGTTGTTGTGTGCCTTCATGTCATTGACTTATGGCCACCCTAAGGTGACCCTTGCATGGAGTTTTCTTGTCAGGTTTCTTCAGAGGGGGTTTGCTGCTGCCATCCTCTGAGGCAGAGAGAGTGTGACTTGCCCAAGGTCACTCAGTGGGTTTCCATGTCCGAGTTGGGATGTGAACTCTGTTCTCCAGAGTCATAGCCCAATGCTCAGACCACTACACCACATTGGCTCTCATATGTTGGTACACATAGCCTTACACAAATATTGGGATAACTTCTTCCTCTATAAGTAGGTCTCATTGGTGCAGTGTTCAAAGTACTTTACAGTGACAGTTCTATTGATTTACAAATCAAAAGAGAATAAAGCGGAAAACAGCTTGGCTTTATCTCCAGAAGCCCCAGTGAGTTCATACTTTCCCCTTGTTTGTCATACTTCAAGAAAATGTACACTATGTGGATATTTCATCTCCTCCACCCACCTGAGGAATAATGTGTGCCTCATCATTCACTGGAACTGTCAACACATTCATGGCAAAAATGCTTCTCTTTCCCTTTACTCAGCAATGGGAAAATACATTTTGCTATCAGGATGTTGCATGATAACATAAGACAAATCCAACTGGATCAGAGCAACAATCCATCAAGTGTGTATATGTGTGACTAACTGTGGACCTCTTTAGATTACAGCTTCTAGCATCCTTCACAATTGGCTCCACTCTATAAATAAAAATATATTTATTTATTTTGCTCACAAATGCCCCTCAATGCTCTGTAGGGGCTGCATGTGCATTCTTGCCATACTCTTGGCCTCCTAGGGAATTTTAGGGTCAAGAGAGTCCCCCCTCTTTTTTTTTAAACAACAGAACAGAAAATGATCTGGAAGTCACATCTAGTTCATTTTCTTTCTTTAAAAAAAGAAATACCTGGCCTAATTTGACTGGAAAAATGGGTTTTGTAGTATCAAGAGATGTTTAAAATTATCTGCCAGAGAGTTCTAGTGCCTCTCCAAAATATAAATCCCAGAATTCTATAGATTGTAACCATGGTAGTAAAAGTGGATTTAGAGTGTTATTATAGTGTAGTGTGAAAGGGCTCTGGGTTTTCTAGCCAAATAGAAAGAAGAGGTTTATCTGAACTGCACTGTTAGTTTTATACCATTTTAACCATCATGATGGCTTCACTGTAAGTGCTGGGATTTGTAATTTGTAACGTAATCAAGTAGCTGTCCATAGTACTGATTCCATAATTGTTAAACTTTGTGTATAACTGTTGGTCCAGAAGGTAGTTTCAAAGGATTTCCTCCAAAAGGAAAATAAACTATTAGTTTAAACTTTAAATGATCACGTAAGAGAAACTTACCTCTTACCATTAGCTTCAAAATAGGCAGCTTTGAGCTGTTTCTTTTATGTTTCTAAGGGCTGACGCTCTTCCCTTGAACTCCCGTTGTGTATTCATAGCAACCTCAGTTTGTTGTTTTGCAAAATATGGGTGGAAGAGAGAGCAGAAAACAGAGCCTAGCAACTACATGGATACATTCTACAGCCATTTCTTGTCTGAGTGCCATCCTTCTCTTGGACAGCAGTACCAGTGACATTAGGAAGCCTAATATTATAACCAAAAAGTTGCCATGGGTAGTTCTAGGGGGTCATTAATCTGACTATGCCAATAATTTCACTCATGCATTCTGGGTTTGTTATTCACACTATGGAACCGCATCTATCCACATCTCTGGGAGTTCGGTGCTCACTCATGCCAGCACTCACGTAAACACAGAACTGACAATGCAAACATATTCAAAACATGTTCAAGGCAAGCAGAGTTTTGTCTTGGTTTATCCTGGGACTATTCTCATTGGTTATTCACACTGCTGATGATGCAAATATTTTTAAAAATTCAGGGGGAAACACCGACATTTATTATCCTGGGTTATGTGTGTGTTTTGGTATCTTAATTGGATGCATTTGAAATGCATCTGAACAACAAAGATTCAACCCAGAGTATTTTCACCATCTGCATAACCTCTAGGACTGGCCATTAACCACAGATTATGCTCCTGATTACAGAGAATGGGGGGATGCTGGATGGAATTGGTTGCTTTCACTATGGGTTCACTGTGCTTATTTTATATTACCAGATTCCTAACCTCATACTAATGTGCTCTTGTCTCTGCAGAATATTTCTTAAGAACTCCTGCTCTCTAGATATCCCAAGAAGGATCTCATGCTTCCACATGAGATGTATTACAATTTCCGTCACATCTTTCCTATATTAGAAGCTCTAGTTCATGCATATCCATCCAGATGTTGAAACACATGCATGCATGGCTATAAATTGCCTTACACAGTTCTGGCTGATTGTAAACTATCTTCTTGTCACTTGTCAAAATGTTTAATATGCTTTTAGATTGTTGAAAGTATTTTCAGGGTTTTAAATTGTTTAAAACTGTTTACTTTGGGGGTCAGCAACTGTGGGAGGCTAGGGGGCCACATTAGCTCCCTCCAGGAGACTTTGGAAGGACACACACACACACATACACACACATCCTGCAAAAATCTCTCCCCTCCGAATGTTCCCGAACATCCTCTATAGGGCATGGGGACATTTCTGCCATGTTTTCTTCAGGGAGCCTGGACCATTATAGCCACAGGAGAGATCTTTTTTGAACAACAGGATGGGACTTGAAGTTACTTCCTATTCACTTCCTTTTCTCCCAAAAGGCCTCCCTTGAACCTAAAATGGCCATGGTGGTAGTGGTCGGGAATAAGGTATAAATGCCCCCCAGAAGTCTTTAGAGAACATGTTGGTTGTTTGAGAAAAATAATTTTCCCTCTCTTTTTTTACCTTTGGGAAGCCCTGGTGGGTGTCACAAAACTGGCATTGGAGACTGCATATGGCCTATGGGCCTCACTTTGCCTACCTCTGGTTTAAATGGATTTTATCCTATGCCATCTTGCGTATGGGGCAAGGGATAAATATTTGATAAATAAATAGTTTCATAAATACAGCAGAAAGAATGATTGCATTTAGCCAGTACTGATGGCTGAGAATTTTGTTTGGCTTGTTTTTGATCAGAAATTTCAAAACTTGGCATAATCCCTCATAAACAGGCTGAGGAAGACTTTTAGAATCTGAACCTGGGTGGAAACAAAATTGACAGATTCATCTCAGCCTCACACTGATATTAGTACTGAAGCTCTGATCACTGTGGTATTGCTTCACAGGTTCTCACTTTCTTATGAGAGGATGCAACATTTTCAAAGCATTTTTCACCACCAAGCTCTGCAGGGAGTAAAAGACGCAATGCATTAGAACAAAGGAATAGATATTACAGCATTACAAAAACTGTTGCCGCTCTCTCAATACTTCAGGATGAGGGATAACTGTGTTGCATTGTACCAATTGCCAGTGATGGC